ACCCTTACTGTGTGGTTGCATGAGAGGCTTGAGTTTAATGGTTGCCACCTTCAAGTCTGTTTCAGATGCCCAGTTTCATTCCAGGCCATTGAAACTCAACATTCTGGTAGTGCGGGACAAACAGATTTGGTCCTTGGACTGCCTCATGAGTCCTGCCCCCCAGGCCCAATTCTCCCTAGTGTGTTTGGAGTCGGGGAAGTAATCTCCACCAAAGATGTTGAAGGCTCTCAGAATGCATGTCAGCCTATCAAACATGGACCTGGATGCCTTCTTGGTGCATGAAACTTGGTCATCGAAGGAAGCCTGCCTTCCAATTAACGTTCTGGAGCTCAGAGTGGCATGGTTGCCCCTTCAACGCTGGACTCCTTTGTGAGAACACTCATTGAGAACTCAATCTGACAATGCCATGGCTGTGGCCAACATTAATCATCAAGCAGGCACTAGAAGTGGTGCTGCTCAAAAAGAAGCAGACCTGATTCCGTCTTGGACAGAACTACACATTATGGCCCTGTCTGCCATCCACATCCCTGGGTTGGAACATCAAGCCTTTTTTGGGGGATGCTGGATATAAATCTATATAAACAAACTGGACAGGTTTGTTGCCAGGTCCACAGACCCGGAAGCCTTCACAGTGGATGCCCCTGGGGGGATGAATTTAATCTAAACTATGCCTTTCCTCACAGATTTTCCCCTATCTGCATTGCAGGATCCAGATGGAGGGCATCCTGGTGATTCCTATCACACAGTTTGGCTCAGGGGTCAGTGGTACATGGATATACTCAGACTGCTGGCAAACTCTCTATGGGTCCTACCAAATCATCTGAATCTCCAGTCCCAAGAGCCAGTTAGAATTGCTCTGCTTAGTCCCGGAATACCAGCATTTAGAAAAGGAAAAAGAGCTTGGGTGAAAAGGTGAACTAATACTTTAAGGCCTTTGTTCTGCATGCCGCACACTTATCCTCCTGTATGTGCCCCTGTGTCTTTTTGGGACCATAATCTGGTTCTCTTAACTCTTCAGAAGCCACCATTTTAACCTTTTAGGGGTATTCCTTTGCCTGGCTTAACTCACAAGATGACCTTTCTTGTGCAGAGGGTCTCTGAGTTAATAGACATGTCCTGTAAGAAGTCCATCTTAGGACAAATTTTTCTTGAGGCCTAAAGTCCCCTTCCCTTCCCTAAGGTGCTCGCTTCCTTCCTCCAGGCCAGAATATTGGTCTTCTTTGCTTATGTCCTGCTCTGTACTGTCTTGATATTGTACACAGTGTGAGAGTCTATCTCTCAGCTACTACCTCTTTTAGGCAATTAGATACTTCCCTCTTTGTACTCCCCTAGGGTTCCTACAGAGGTCTTCCTACTTTTCTATCCACCATAGTTAGATGTATCAGACAAGTTTTCATTTGAGCTTATTACAGTAAAGGATAGGGTTCCTTCCCTATTGAGACACACTCCACCAGACCTGTTAGTGTTTCATCAGCTTTTCAGTATCATGCATTACCTTAGATTTGCAGGGCTGCCACCTGGGCTTCTGTAAACACATTTAAGTTCTACCAGGTGGATGTTCAGGCCTCTAAAGCAGTTTCAGGCGTAAGATGCTATTAGCTGTTGCCCCCCCCCCTCAGTAGGACAGCTTTTGGACATCTTGTAGAAAAGATTAAAGTTCCTGTGTCCTATAATGTATGACTGAGAAGGATTTTTGACTTACTTGTGAGATCTGTTTCTTGGAGTACAGTATGGGACTTGGATTCCTCCTCTTTGTTCTTACAATCGCCATATAGCTTGCTACAAAACGTAGGCTAACTGGGAGTGGGAGGTGTTAAATAGGGGTCCCTGTAGTCTTTTTTTTTTTCTTTTTTTTTGCCAGTGACCAACCACCTAAAGGTAGTTTCATTTAACCCATGTTAAACACTAAAGTTCCCATGTCTGTACTCCAAGAAATCGATTTCATTGGCAAGTCAAAGATCCTATCTTGTGCAATGTTGATCATTGATGTGTAGACCCATACTAATTTGCAATGTTGGCTTTAATAACTTCTATTCATTTTAACAGGTCTGCAGAGCGCCTCTGCTGTTGACTAAAACTATAAGTATAATTTATTAGTAAGAGAATAACTAAACTGTGGATCCTTACACCTGTGTACTGGCACTCTTTCAGCAATATCACTTTGATGTGCTGTACATAACTACAGTGGGCTTAGGCTAAACCAGCAATGGGCAAACTACGGCCCGCAGGCCGTATACGGCCCGGCAGACCTTTTAATCCGGACCACGGGGCGTGATACTGTCAGGATGGCTGTCAGGATGTGTGTAGGCGGGGCAGCGTGACGAACGCGAGGGGAGCTAGGCTCCTCTCACAGTCCGCCCTGAAGACCGGTGTAGCATGAAAATCTGTCTCCTATGAGGATCTGTCCCCCTCGACGTATCTGCGCATGTGCCGGAGATAGCCGATCGGCTGCTAATGCCTGAAACTGGCACATGCGCAGATACGTCGAGGGGGACAGATCCTCATAGGAGACAGATTTTCATGCTACACCGGAACGGCGCGGGAACACGGCGAGAGGAACGCGCGGAGCAAAGGTAAGTGAATTGACACAGGGGGGACTTGGTGACTTAATATGGGGGATGAATTAATATGGGGAATGAATTACTATAGGGGGAATGAATTACTATATGGGGGATGAATTACTATGGGGGATGAATTACTATATGGGGGATGAATTACTATGGGGGATGAATTACTATATGGGGGATGAATTACTATATGGGGGATGAATTACTATATGGGGGATGAATTACTATGGGGGATGAATTGCTATATGGGGGATGAATTACTATATGGGGGATGAATTACTATGGGGGATGAATTACTATATGGGGGATGAATTACTATGGGGGATGAATTACTATATGGGGGATGAATTACTATGGGGGATGAATTACTATATGGGGGATGAATTACTATGGGGGATGAATTACTATATGGGGGATGAATTACTATGGGGGATGAATTACTATATGGGGGATTAATTACTATGCTTACTATGGGGGAATATTACTATGCTTACTATGGGGGAATATTACTATACTTACTATGGATGACACATACACATCATTCATCTACTCTTGGTCCGGCCCCCCGGGTCCAATATATGAACCCATTGCGGCCCTCAAGTCAAAAAGTTTGCCCACCCCTGGGCTAAACCCTCATTTACCTAGTGAGTTTATGAAAATTTAGCAGTAAGGTCTGGGGAATTTCCAAGGACACTGCTCGAATATTCTAGTGTGTAAATATGGAGATATGGTAAAACACTAAAATGTAATTACGTTTTTTGGGAATTTTAAAATTCATTACTTTTATCTTTAATTATAGTAATGGTTTCTTAATGGACAGTGATAATTGTTTATAGGTCTTTATTAGTTGTAATTTCTTTCCTGCCACAAGCCCATTTTTTTCCTTATTTCTAATTACCCGTAGAAATATGACAAACCCTGAGCATTGATTTTCATCTCTTTTGCTTAATTAGGTCAAGATATCATGCAGCTAGGTACTTCAGGAGGCAGTGAAACTGAATGGTAACCTGAGATTAAATACTCCTGCAGTTACTAACCAGACTCCAGAGACCTCGTTATCACTAAGCAGTGATCACATTTTATCACAGGCCACTACGCTAACCACTACTTCAGGTATGGTATATGTGATTCATTTTATTTGTTGTCTACATAGGATGAAGTTTTTTTTTTTTTCCCCCACTTATTGAAATCGTAATTTGCCTTAAATTTAGGCTGCTACATTATAAGCATGCTTTCATTGTATTAATCTTTGGAGAACACTTTTAATGCCTTGTATACAGCGTTGACTTCTAAACTGTATACTGCGGCCCTGCGCCATGGGTAGCAGGAGAGGTGCCATCTTTACTGCAGTGCAATGAATGACATGCCTAAAATTTTTCATCGAATGTTCTGCATAAGCTCAACTGTTCACGTTGTCCCTTCTGTTTCTGTATGTGGATGATGGCATTGTAATTATTTTAATAAGCAAAATCTAAGTACCTTTTCCTAATCAATATACAGCTATCGCATGACCCAACTCTTTCCCAGCCTGTCTGTAGAGAAACATAATAAGGAGGAGCATCTAGTCATCTGCTGCTGGTCACATGTTCAAAACAAAACAAAAAAAAGCCTTTGGAATAAAAATAAGTAATAACAATAAACTGTTTTAAATTGTCATACAAATAAATATTTGAAATCAAATCTTTATTATTTTTTGGCAAGAACATGGCGTGGGCAGATTTCTGCCAGCCACAGGCTGTGTCACACACCTCCAGCCTGTGTCATAGAATAAGAGGAGGGGTGAAGCCTCCATCAATCAAGATGTAATATCCCACCCCCATTGTGTTTAGCTGACTAGTGAGCATGGAGGAAAAAAGAGGGAGCGGGCTGTCATTTACCTCTGTGTATACACCAACATGTGTGACTCTATAGTCACATGGGCTGTTCAGATTTGATATAGAGGAAATTCTCAGCATAGAAACTCCCTGTAAACTGAGCATGTGCAGAGCTGCAAACACTGCTCTGCAAAATCCATAGCTGCATTGGGGACTTGGACGGAAGAGGGAGACAGAGAATAGCAGGATCAACCAGGTTTTTTGCAGAAACAGAATCCTATTGTGACTGACTGAGTATGAACAGCCTGTAATACAGCATTTATTGATAGTTTTTTTCATGATGTGGGTTTAATAACACTTTAAATCTTTGCCCATCGCCTTCCTAAAGTATTGAGCAGTAGAATATGTACATGCACTTTTACTTGTACATTTAAGATGCCGCTCAGCTTGATGAATAGCACAGGTACCACTAAAAGGCTATTTTTGAGCATTGTAAAACCTGATTTGTTATAAGCTTATAATTCCATAATGCATTTTTTTGGTAAAATACTTATTGATTAAGAATTCCTAGAATACAAAATTATATATCTGTTTTTTCTTTTTTTTTTTTTTTTGTTAGAGCTGACCACATCAACTGGCAGTCTTCCTAGCACCACCTCAATCACTCAAAACCCTGTCTCTACTCAGAATTTGGTTATGTCATCTGGAGTGGGAGGAGATGGAAGTGTAACTCTAACTTTAGCTGACACTGAGAGTATGTTGTCGGGAGGACTTGATACTGTGACCCTGAACATCACTCCCCAGGTATGAACTCAATTTGCCAGTCATTACATATTTTTTCCATAGCTAGAGTGACACAGCTTACAAGTAGTCTGGGCACGGTAGTAATCAGACAGCTTGGTGTGTAGTCATGCAGCTATGTAGGATGAAATCAGCATTCGTGGGCTGTTTGACTTCATTTATTTTATTGAGGAATAAATGAGTAATAAAAAGTTAGGAGGAGAACAAATAGATGAACAGGCGAACAGAAGATGACTGTTCAGAGCAGAATGAAGCTGTGAATGCAATGAAAAGTTGGGTAAGATAAATTGGCAGATCAAAATAAACACATTAATATAAAATCTGACATACTGCGATAAAATGTAGACAAATAATTATTGGATGATGTGAAAATGTTCTCATTTAAAGAGAATAATCCCAATGTTTAAGGAGGGTTTTACTGTCTCATGTATCATAATGATCTAAATAGATGCATCTATCAGTTTATAAAAAAAACCAAACATAAAACAAATCCATTGTGCTCAGCTAAAGATTTATGGAGGCTCCCATACATATTTTTTAATATTTGTATTAAGCTATTTGCCTTATGTTTGGAATTACAAAAAAAGAAGTAAACAAAAGCTATCTGTCAGAAACAACACATCCCTCAATAACAAGTGGTTGAAGTGGACCTTCACCCTAAAATAAGTGTTAGGCCCCATTCACACTGTGGCATTCTGAATCGGTTTCAAAACAATTTGCTAAAATAACAAATCGCACAACATCATGTTCAGGTGCCGTTCATTTTAATGGCACCTAAAAATGCGGTGCGATTTTTGCAGCAAACCACGTCGCCCAAAAGAAGCTCCTGAACTACTTTTGGGTGGCATACTTCTTGTGATGTGGTTTGCTGTGATTTCAGTGTGATTTTCCATGCAACAATCGCAGCAGAAGAACCACACTGCGTTTTTAGGTGCCATTAAAATGAATGACACCTGATCACACCGTTGTGTGATTTGTTATTTTAGCCTTACCGTGCCTCCTCTCATATCCCTCTCTCACAATTGAATATACATGTGGGTTTTTTTTGGTTTTTCTTTGTTCATACCACTTCCACATTTCCCCCTATGCGACATTTCCCCCCACCCCCACCCACGCGTGTTTGCTGATGTGTCACAGAATGTCTGGTCCTATGGTGCATCTGTGCATGGGTGGATTTTTCTGTGCATACGCAAACACAGCTATTTAACAAGTCCCAAACCTTTGCTGCTTTTGCACATGCGCAGGAAATCTGCGCATTCGCATATGTGCCTAAGGGCTCTGCCAGGGCTTAAAGGCCATAATGGTGTTGCCAGAGGGTAAGGGTAGAGCCACTAAAAAATGGACAGAAAGTTCCTTTTTGAACCAGTTGCCAACAGGCCTATGGCCACATGGCGGCCGGGCGAACACTTCATCCTACCGGGAGGACGCCATATGGCATCCTTCCCAGATCGTGCATTACTCATGCCCACAGGGCCGTGCTGTGGCAAGATCTGTCACCGGCCATGTACCTCGGACACAGCCAATGACAGATCTGTATACTGGCCCCGTTACCAGTACCATGGGACCTGCTGTGACTAATCACAGCAGGTCACATGCCAGTTGTATATAATGGATGGCATGAAAGGAAGCCATCCATTGTATACAATTGTGTCTGGCTGTGAATGGTCACAGCGATCACATGCATAAGCTGGGCCAATCACAGCCCAGCTGTGTCATGTGATTAGCTGTGGCCAAATCACAGTTAAGAAAAAAAAATCCTGAATGAATCAATTTCATCCAGGTAAATGCTTGCTTATAGCAAAGTAATTCTTTGCTATAAGCACATTGTGTAAAAAAAAAAAAAATACCGATCACTTCCCCAAAGTATTACTATGTTACTATGGTAACATTATACTACGTTGGTCATAGTGTGAACTATGAAAAAAAAATCTTAAAGAGAAAAAAATGTAATAAAAATAATAAAAAAATAAAAAAAAATTTAAAAGAAATTATCAATTTTTTTTTTTTTTCGTACTGTCACCAGTCAGTGTCCCTGATCACCGCTATGCCAATATATGATGACGCTGTACTGCACTGGTGACAGTATGTAAAAAAAAAAAAAAAATAGTGAAAATAATTTTTTTTATTTCTTCATTTCCGAAAAATTATGACAAAAAAATTACAACTTCAAAAACTCGCCATGCCTGTTATGAAATACGTTGGATTGTCTACTTTGCAAAAAGGGGTCATTTGGGGGATAGCTGTACTGTTCTGACATTCTTGGACCTCAAGAAATTAGATTGGCTGTCAATTAGATTGGCTTCAGGATTGATCAATTTTCAGATATATACCATAGTTTGTGAACTCTATAACTTTCCTACAAACTAAATAATACATTCTAATTTGGGTTATTTTCACCAAAGACATGTAGTAGAATACATTTTGGCCTAAACTTATGAAGAACAATTATTTATTTGCAAACGTTTATACCAGAAACAAAGAAAAACGAGGGTTTTTTTTTTCTCAAAATTTTAGGTCTTTTTTTGTTAATTTAGCAAAAAATAAAAACGCCGGCGGTGATTAAATACCACCAAAAGAAAGCTCTAGTTGTGTGAAGAAAATGATAACATTTTAGTTTGGGTACAATGTTGTATGACCGCGCAATTGTCATTCAAAGTGTGAGAGCGCTGAAACCTGAAAAATGGCCTGGGCAGGAAGGGGGTAAAAGTGCCCAGTATGGAAGCGGTTAAGACCAACTCCTAGTTGGCCTAGAGAGACAGGCAGAATCTCTGTCTCCACACCATACAGCAGGAGGCATATTTGCTATTGGTAACTTCTCACCACCTGTCACTGGTTGTAAGCAACTGTGAAGCTGACAGCGCCATTAACAACCAATGACAGGTGAGAGTGGGTGGAGCCTGATGAGGAAACTGCGACACTAGTTCCCCATCAGGTCCGCTCTCTCCTTGTGATTGACAGCAGGCAGTAAGTGGATTCTATAGTTATAGCAGGCTGTCTATTGACTACGGATGCACCTTCTGTCTGCTGTCAGTCTCAAGGGGAGCAGACCTGATGGAGAACTAGTGTCTTTGAATCTAATCATGCTTCACCTGGCCAGCTTTACCAGCCATCAGCTGCTGTGTTGTGTGACAGCTGCAGCAGCAGGACGCAGCTTAGTTGTACTGAAGAAAAAGTGTCACTCTGGCCTCAGTGCGCTTCAGCATGTGGCGTGTGCTCCAGTTTCATGTACTTTTTTGCAACAGGTACGTGGGTTTTTCACCCACACCAACATTTGTTGTTTGAAGGTACATCAGAATTTTTTGAGAATGTCTTAGACACTCTTTATGAATTCCCCTGATTGTCTATTGATCTTGTTGCCATCTGGCCGCTATTGGTTACTGCACTTTGCTTGTATTTATTGCCTTATTTATGGCATTAAATTGTGATAGGAGTGTACTGCATATGTGCATTATAAAAATGACTAAAAGATTACGGTTTGTAGGACAGTTCTGGTTTCTCCATTTATTATCCTGAAATGCCTATGTGATAATGCACACACAGCATAAAACAGGAATGCATGTTTCATAAATACATACTTAATATAGCACAGCTGTATCTCGTTTGTTGCCCTGCATTACTTGAAATCTATTTTGCAGCTGGATATTATTGGAGTAAAAATAAACTAATGAGAGACATTATAGTAAAACACTGACTAAACATGAATTAATTACCCAATATGTCCCTGAAAATAACCACTGAGAAGAGCTGTTAATTGGCACAGTTTACAAGGTTTCATATCAATGAAGTCTTTTTAAGTGGAAGCCTAGTCTCTGAGCTGCTGAAGGCATTAGTACTAATTCAAAGAGGCCCCTGAGGTATGAGCACTTAATCAAGTTGTCATTTTATCTCGTATGTAAGAAATACAATTTGAGGCCTAAGAAAAATAATATTGGGTAGCTTACTGTGACAAACAGCACCTGGTGCTCTCGGATTAAGTAAACAACTAACCTAATAAACCACGATTTCCTAAAAATAACATGTACAGTCAGGTCCATAAATATTGGGACATCAACACAATTCTAACATTTTTGGCTCTATACACCACCACAATGGATTTGAAATGAAACGAACAAGATGTGCTTTAACTGTAGACTGTCCGCTTTAATTTGAGGGTAGTTACATCCAAATCAGGTGAACGGTGTAGGAATTACAACAGTTTGCATATGTGCCTCCCACTTTTTAAGGGACCAAAAGAAATGGGACAATTGGCTTCTCAGCTATTCCATGGCCAGGTGTGTGTTATTCCCTCATTATCCCAATTACAATGAGCAGATAAAAGGTCCAGAGTTCATTTCAAGTGTGCTGTTTGCATTTGGGATCTGTTGCTGTCAACTCTCAAGATGAGATCCAAAGAGCTGTCACTATCAGTGAAGCAAGCCATCATTAGGCTGAAAAAAACAAAACAAACCCATCCGAGAGATAGAAAAAACATTAGGCGTGGCCAAAACAACTGTTTGGAACATTCTTAAAAAGAAGGAACGCACCGGTGAGCTCAGCAACACCAAAAGACCCGGAAGTCCACGGAAAACAACTGTGGTGGATGATCAAAGAATTCTTTCCTTGGTGAAGAAAACACCCTTCACAACAGTTGGCCAGATCAAGAACACTCTCCAGGAGGTAGGTGTATGTGTGTCAAAGTCATCAATCAAGAGAAGACTTCACCAGAGTGAATACAGAGGGTTCACCACAAGATGGAAACCATTGGTGAGCCTCAAAAACAGGAAGGCCAGATTAGAGTTTGCCAAACGACATCTAAAAAAGCCTTCACAGTTCTGGAACAACATCCTATGGACAGATGAGACCGAGATCAACTTGTACCAGAGTGATGGGAAGAGAAGAGTATGGAGAAGGAAAGGAACTGCTCATGATCCTAAGCATACCACCTCATCAGTGAAGCATGGTGGTGGTAGTGTCATGGCGTGGGCATGTATGGCTGCCAATGGAACTGGTTCTCTTGTATTTATTGATGATGTGACTGCTGACAAAAGCAGCAGGATGAATTCTGAAGTGTTTCGGGCAATATTATCTGCTCATATTCAGCCAAATGCCTCAGAACTCATTGGACCTCGCTTCACAGTGCAGATGGACAGTGACCCAAAGCATACTGCAAAAGCAACCAAAGAGTTTTTTTAAGGGAAAGAAGTGGAATGTTATGCAATGGCCAAGTCAATCACCTGACCTGAATCCGATTGAGCATGCATTTCACTTGCTGAAGACAAAACTGAAGGGAAAATGCCCCAAGAACAAGCAGGAACTGAAGACAGTTACAGTAGAGGCCTGGTAGAGCATCACCAGGGATGAAACCCAGCGTCTGGTGATGTCTATGCGTTCCATACTTCAGACTGTAATTGACTGCAAAGGATTTGCAACCAAGTATTAAAAAGTGAAAGTTTGATTTATGATTATTATTCTGTCCCATTACTTTTGGTCCCTTAAAAAGTGGGAGGCACATATGCAAACTGTTGTAATTCCTACACCGTTCACCTGATTTGGACGTAAATACCCTCAAATTAAAGCTGACAGTCTTCAGTTAAAGCACATCTTGTTCGTTTCATTTCAAATCCATTGTGGTGGTGTAAAGAGCCAAAAATGTTAGAATTGTGTCGATGTCCCAATATTTATGGACCTGACTGTATGATTTGGCTCTGAACACACTGGGTTTCGCAAAGTCATTAATCAGAGTACACATTGCTTGAAAAAGAAATTGTGATATAGTATATGTTCCATTTTTTCCAAAACATAAAGTATAACTGAAGGCAAAACATTTTTTTTTTTTCAATTTGGATAGAGTGGGCTGGTATTAGACCACCTGTCAAGTTGTTGTTGTTGTCTGTGCCTCCGTTAGTTAGATTCACCATTTCTATTTGTTCTGTTTACCATTACCATTGAAAGCAAACGTAAAAGAAAATCACTAATTTTCATTTGTCCCCAGAAAAGTAATGGTATGGAAATCTTCCAGTGGGGACAATAGTTCTGGTGACCTGGGGGTCCCAAAGAATTCTCTTAATTTTCAGAGATTTCCTCTCACTTCCTGTTTTGTCTATGGGTCAGGAATTGAAGCTAAATCTCGCCAATGAAACACAGATGGCAAAAAAAAAAAAAAACGACGGGTTTTAACTCTCCCTTACTGTATCCAAAATGTAAAAAATAAAAGTTAATTCATCAAACCGTTAAAGAGAGCTAGGTTGCCAATCATATTGGTTGGGTGCCTTACCATTTACAGTGAATTTTGAGAGACACATAATAGTATGTTTCATGATTTCAAAGATGGTGCGGCTAGTAGTCATATGACACAGCAAAACCTTTTGGCATTTTGAAACCACTTTACCGTTGAAAAGTGCGTGTTCTTGAGTAATTTGATTAGTTGATTGGATGAGTGACAATAAAGGGGACGTTTAACTGATCTTTGTTGCTTGACATAAGGTATTGTTTGCACTCTATTTCTAAGGTAAATTTAACAGACCACAAGGGGGGAAATAAGAGAAGTTCATTTTTGGGGTCTATACAAACTCTTTTAGCAACCAGCTATATTCTGGCTTGCCCTTTAGCCACTTGTAACTTCAATCTTCTATGTCTTCCTGCTGCCTGCCTACAGACCTTGATACCTGAAGCCTTGTTTCTTACCTTGAGCCAATATATTTTTTTCATGCAGTCACAACATGTCTAATTCTGGATACAGAGGATACAGTCCTGCTGTACTTTGTGTCTTCATCTCGCACTCTGATAGAGCCAGAATCATATTGCCCTTTGCTACCAGTATATCACATCGCTAAAGTCTTCTTTACCTCTGTTGGGTATGACTTTATCCTATGCCCTTTCGACTGATGTTTATACGGCAGCTCTCCTAGACTTTACAGTCTAAATCGCCCAGTTATATGCTGACCCTGATCATAAAGGCCAATTGCGCCCCGGCAACCTCTTTTCCATATCTGATTTGCCTGTTATCTTACCAGCTTCCAGCCATTGGCTGAAGCTCCAGTCCTTTATTGATGAGCTTACTCTAGAGGAGTTGCAGTCTACTGATATTGCTCCCTATTTAAAGGTGACCATTTTGGCTGTTATTAATGCAGTGCTCACTACTCTGAAACTAGGGGATCAGCATGTTACTTCTACTAGTGCTGTTTCCAGTCTTGGGTCCTTCAAAGCTTCTAAAGCTACAAAGACTTTCCCTTTGCCACTCCCCTTTTCATCTTTCTTTATGGAGAATAAAAGCATGATAAGCGGTTTGCTCTCCCCAAGCTGTTTTACCTGTTTGGGTAAGGATATTTTGCAAAAAGTCTATTCCTACTGTGGATCCAGTGGTGTCTCACCCGAATAGGGTACCTATTATTCCAGTAAAATATGTGCCTGTCCTTAAGGACCTAACCAATAAGCAATTGTATGTATGTTTTTTTTAGAGCTCTCTTCTCTTTGGCAGCTCCTGTTCTTTACCTGGTTCCTGGCTGTGACTTTATTTTATCAAACCATGTCTGGTCACAATCTATCAAAAGAGATCTAACCACTGATACTATTGATCCTTGTTTATTGAATGTGTAAAGCATTCAGTCATAGCCTTAAATTTCAGTTCTGACAGTAGCCTTGTCAGTTCAAAATTTTTAGGACACTGTAATTGAAGTTTTGGACTGTGGAACTCTTGTACAATAGCCACTGGAACTGTATTGGCTTCAATACTGATTCTTGGTACAATTATCAAGGATTCTACTTGTGGCAAGAGCACCCATCTTCCTCGGCAGGAGAAGCCAAACAAACATATTGCTAGGTCTTCTCCCTCTCTGAATATACAGTATTCTGTGTAGTCTATCACAATAATGCTAGGAGTTGGGGGAAGATATTACTGTTGGTATCCCATAGCTGTAAAATCTTGGAGGAAGTTGAAAAATGTCCCTGCTGTGCCAAAACAAATTGTTTTGGGCATAGTTTAATTTCTTTTTTTCCACATTCAGATTATTCTTTATGTATTTTGAAGCCAAAACATGTTCTATAATATACAGTGCCTCCAATAACGGTTTTGTATACAAAAGCACATGTGGCCAGTCAAAGGCTTTTTTTGTAATCATAGTTTTAACTTGTAAGTTTTTTGTGAATTTGAACTCTTAGATGTAATGTGTTGCAGCCCAACAAACACTGTCGACGAGTGCTCTTCACTGATGCAGCCAGCTTATAAAACTTGTATGAGATTCATCTAGGGAGTGTTAGCTGACAGTCTTTCTCACCTGTTTCTGCCTTGGGGACCTGAAAGGGTGACATTGAAGAGAAAATTAGCCAGAGAATAGTAGGGTTTGTGTGCTGGCGAGTTTATTGTCTGCATTTTTTTTTCACGCTGACCACTGCAGCATGAGCAAAACTGAATATATTGATCCAATAGAAATAAAAAACTTTGTATTTCCTCATGATTTTGTACTTAAACCAGATGCCTGCTTTATACCTTACCCTAAAGAGTTATGTTTCTTTTCAAACATAAAAGAAGCCTGTTCTTCTTAATGGGTTGTTTTACAAGGTGAGGGTTCACATATACTTTAATACTGGCTTGTTCACACCAGATGCTTTCAGGTTTCAGGTGTGTTTTTAAGGGCTTTTTAACACCACAATCCGTTCGGTGTACAGGTCCGCATGCATTTACACTCATTTCTAATGTGTTTTCAGTGCATTTGTGGTGCATTTTTTTAGTTATTAGTGTTAGTTATTTCTTTTACTGAGTTTCATTTACATGCATTCTGGTACATTTGTATTAATTTCTCCTGCATATTGATACTGAGACAATTACAAATGCATTAAAAATGTGTGTAAACCCGCCTTTGGAAATACGCGCCGAGTGTAGGGACTGCAGTGTGAAAAAACCCTCAATTGCAAAAAAGCATTTAAATGCAGTTAGTCTTAGATGCACATTTTTCTTGTTTAAGAGCTGAATGTTCAAATTATATTTTGTTTTTTTTTCAACAGAGCCAGCAATTCTCTGGCATTCTATCTGATAACAGCTTATCTGGACAAAGTGGAACTGGCTCTCAACAGGTGATATTGGTTAGTCATGGAGGACAGACTTCTAGCAACACTGGTGATCTCAATTTCCAGGTACTTTACCATCTCTAAAAATAATATAAAAAAATATGGACAGCTGACTGACCGTTTTTCAAATATTTATTTTAAATTTATAATTTTAGTTGCAAGATTTCTTCACTTACAACACACACACACCTAAGCAGTAGTTATGTTTTATGACCGAGTTGTTTTTGAAAAATATGTGAATGTATTGTGACCTTATAGAAAATCTTCAACCTGTATTGTATGAGAAGTGATGCATCCCACTTTATGCTCACTGGCATCCCACTATATTTATTAGGTAACAATGTAACAAGACAAAAAAGGACATTTCTAGTAACACATTATAATTTTGTATTTACAAATGTAGTGCATCCCAAGCAAATTGTTCACTTTTTCAAAATGATTCAGGCACACATTAGATCTTGGTTCAATCAGTACCTACAGATAAAGGTGATGTAAGTGAATAAAAACATAAGGAAAATGTGCCTTTCAATCATTTATTCAACAAAAATTGTAATAGATGTAGTGGTGTACTGTGGTAAGCAAGTACTGTACATCCTAGGCCTTGGCAGCTTGTATTGCTTCTTTCAGCTGAAATGACTTCCTGAAGGAAGTAATCTGAAATAAAATGTCCCTACCTGCCTGATCACTGTCTTCTCAGGCTCTAGACTGAGCTACCCATGTGTAGTTTGAGCCAAACATATCTACTGTTACTGTGGCCACATCTTTGATTTATCAGTTCATGGCACATTGTACCATAAGGCCTGGTCTTTGCCTATATCAGGGTTTCTCAGCATTTCTTACTTGGAGGAACCCTTGGCAGAAAGTTTAAGATATTGGGAAACCCCTTAAATAATTTTCAGATCTACAGCTCACAAACCTTTGGATAAGTGTGCTGTTAATATAACAATTATTTTTCTAAATAGCTTAAAAAAAAACAGAATAAATGTGTAGACCTACCTATTGAAACTTGTGCTTGCTTTTTTCTGCACAGATGCTCAATTTTGAGTCAAACTTCAGATAAGCAGTGTATGGGGCAGCATAGCAGAGCGCAGGGGGGCAGCAGGGTACATTACATGGGGGGAACATTACAGGGTTGGCACAGCAGGGCACATTACATGGGGGGGGGGGGGCAGCAGCACACATTATGGGTCACACAGCAAGGCATATTACGTGGGGGCTGGAGGGCACAGCAGAGCACATTATGGATCATAGTAGGGCATATTACATTGGGAAAGGAGGGCATGATTTGGGGCACAGCAGGACATGTACATGGGAGGCAAACAGGTTGAATTAAATGGGGCAGGAGGGCATTTTATGGGGAACAGCAGGGCACATTATGGGACACAGCGGGCATATTGCATGGGGGAAAGAGGGCATGATTTGGGGCACAGCAGGGCATGTTATATGTACATGGGGGCAAAGCATGGTTCATTACTTGGGGGGGGGGGGCAGCAGAGCACATTATGGAGTGCAGCATGGCACCTTACATGGGGTGCCAGCAGGGCACATTAAGGGGCACAGCAGGGCATATTACATGGGGGCAGGAGGGCACATTATGCGGCACAGCAAGGCATATGAATGCAGGGGGTACATTATGGTTCACAACAGGGCATGTTATGGGGCACAGCAGGGCATATTACTAGGGGCAGGAAGGTACATTATGAGGCATAGCCTAAGTCCTTTCCGACCCTTCTCTCTCATCCATCCCCATGTGATGTCTTACAAGCATATGGGATGGACAGGAAGAAAGAAGGGGCCAGAGGGAAACAGTGCTCCACAAGAGGACCTTTTATAGCCGCTTCCCCGCATTGCTCTGCATATGTCAGCTATGCAGGGATGTGATCTACTCGTCAGCTGCCTGAAATTGATGGGTAGATTGTGGTGGAACCCCAGTTGAGAAACTCTGGCCTATATATTGAATGAAAAATGTTAGTCTTTCTCTAATGCTCTTTTTGGACAGCAAAGGCTTTTTCCTGGCACACCTCTCATGCCAATTAAATTGGTACAATCTCTGAGTGTAGATGCATGCAGTTTGACAATAACATTTGCAAGAGTTACCTGCACATCCCACAATTAAAGCAGTATGAAATCCAAATACAAAAATGTAGTTTATTGCAGGCTACCAATCTGTAGATGTGGTGGCTGCATTTGTTATCTTTTTTAGGATTTTTTCCTTCATTTCACCTGGTGATCTATCAAGCAACACTCTTCTTGTCTTAGGGTATCTGCACTCTGGATGAAGTTGTAAAGCAGACCCTTGTGGACAGCAGCATTGTCAGTATGGGGGAATGGTAGTGTTAGACTAGCAGATTTAGACAGACTTGACTAACAAATTGAAGCTGAACTCCAGCTAACACTTTATAAGCAATTACAGCAAAACTGTTTTTTTTTTTTTTCCTTTTTGAGACAAAGGTTTTAAACAATTGAAGACTAAAAGCTGACCATTATAAGCACCCTTGTAAACAGTAATTGGTTTGTCTACACCCTCTATCTGCTATGTTGTCTGGACAGACCAGTCTATTGAAAAATAACATTCACTAGCTGGATCACCAGGTAAAAACAAAGGAGAAAATCCTAAAAAAAAAGAAAATGAATGCAGCCACCACATCTAAAATTTTAAAATAAACAGCACAGTGCAGCGCTTAAAACCACTAAATATATAAATATGCTCCAACATTACTGTAAATCATCCCGTGAAATGGGCATACTCACAAGCAACATCATAAACCCATAGGGCATTAATGCTTAATGCCTTGCACATCTAATATGCGCCAACATTTATACAAAAGACACCAAATAAAAGTGAAAAAAAATTGCTTAGTGCCAAATAATAGAATATAAACAGTTTGTGTAAAATCAAATAGTAACTTCAATGGACATGTAGACAGGTGACAAACATCCAATTGTGACAACTCTCATGAAAATCCTTCACCCATATGCTTTCATCAGAACTGGTAATAACAGATCCAAGCTGTGGCAACTCCCTTCACCCCTTCCACTTCATGGGTCTGATCAGAGATCATCGGAATGTACCTTGATAAAGATAGCTGGTTGTGTCACTCCTGGTGGCTGCATGAGTAGCTGAGTGAAACAGCCAGATGTCTTTATCTAGGTATGTTCTGGTGATCTCTGATCGGACCCATGAATAGGAAGGAGTGAAGGGAGCTGTCACAGCTTGGAGTAATATAAGAGGCCTGTTTTTACCCGAGTTCTGGTGAGTGCATATAGGTGAAGGTGTAGTATCTACATGTCTACACGTCCATTGAAGATATTGGAATATTCAATCTTACACAAACTGTTTATTTCTGTGTATTTGGCACTAAGCACTTCATTGTCACTTTATTTGATGTCTTTTGTACATACATTACACTATACTGCCAGGGGTTGGGCTTGGCCCCTTAGTTCCAGTGAAGGGAACACTTAAGGCGTCAGCATACCAAGACATTTTGGACCATTTCATGCTTCCAACTTTGTGGGAACAGTTTGGGGATGGCCTGAGTCCTGACCTCAACCCGATAGAACACCTTTGAGATTAATTATAGTGGAGACTGCGAGCCAGGCCTTCTCGCCTGACATCAGTGCCTGACCTCACAAGTGTGCTTCTGGAAGGATGGTCAAACATTCCCATAGAGACACTCCTAAACCTTGTGGACAGCCTTCCCAGAAGAGTTGAAGCTGTTATAGCAGCAAAGGTTGGGCCAACTCACTATTGAACCCTATGGACTAAGACTGGGAAGCCATTAAAGGTCATGTGTGTGTAAAGTCAGGCATCCCAATACTTTTGGCAATATAGTATATGTTGGTGCATATTATATATGCAAGGTATTAAGCACTAATGCCCTATGGGTGTATGATGTTGCTTTTGAGTATGCCCATTTCACTGGATGATTTACAGTAATTTTGGAACATATTAAACATATAGGAATTGTAAATTTTGTTTAGTGGGTTTTAGCGCTGCACTGTGTTATTTATTTTATTACTGGGTTGGTCGCCTTTTGTACTAGCAACTCTCTGGTTTCCAAATGCTCACTACACCCCTCTCTTTTTACACATCTAAAACTTTGGTGAGCTGCAAGCTAATAAATGTTTGGTTTGGGGTCTAATACCTCTTTTAAGTTTTGGAATACTTGGAGATTTCTTTTAGCATCAAACTGTCAACTCTTGGTCTGATTTTGATTTTCTTTTTAAATCCCTTGCCAGACTGATACACATCCAACACTTTTTTTTCTGAGGTCCTTAGAGAGCACTTTATCTTGGCATGATGACCCCACACACATCAATAGCAAAGAGAACACCTGACCCTAGATATCTAAGGTTTAAATAACAGGTTCCACCTACATAATGTATAAGGAGGTTCTAATTATTGGCACCTAATCTGGAATACTTGATTGCAGTGGCAAATGTAGGGGACTTACATTTTTCCATGTGATACATTCCTATTTTCAATACCTTCATTTATGAAAATTAATATACAATGTTAAATATTGTGTGAATTGTTCAGGTATATCACCATTATCTGCATGAACTGTTTGAATGGAGATCTAATGTTTGCTTGCTGTTAAGGTGTTCTTGCCTATTCACATAACTGGACTTTTGTTCTCTGGACACCTTACATGAGTGTCTGTAACATTCTGTCATTCATTCTGCAACGTCTGCTAAGTCACTATGGTGTCTCTATCTTTGTGTTCTGAATCCAAACCTATGAGATTGTGGACAAGGTGGTTTCAGATTCTGAGCTTTCCCTTCTTCAGTTTTCACAGATGGGAAATGCACATCACACAATTATGTGAATAGGCCCAGTTGTAACCAGAAGAACTGAGAAAAACCTGCAGAATATAGCTGCAGTGCATTTTATAAGTTCAGGTTTCAGGTAATATGTTAGGGCAGAAATATTAGAATTATCATTGCTGACTTGTTATTAAAAATTGAAGATCAGGGACTAAAGGATCTAGGACTGTCATCCTAATCCCATCAATGGGATTGGAGTTCTAGCCCGTTTATACTTCTCTGGCTGTATGCATATTAAT